GTGGGGGGTGGGGGGGCGCTGGGCGGCAGGCGGTCTCAACCAGCAGCAGGCCTTCCTCGCGGTGCGCCCGCTCCCCTGGCCCCCCGACCTGACCAAGCTGGCTGCGTGTAGGTGCCCAGTTGCCCCACCTGCTGGCCCCTGAGAGCCCCCCACTGTGGCTTCTTATCACGCCCTGGGGAGCACCGCTGGCAGGAAGAGCGTAGGGCCTGCGGGTGCCTGCGGCACTGGGCAGAGCCCGGTCGCCCCGCCCCTGTCCCCCAGCCCTTGCTGGGTCGCGCACCCCCAGCAGAGGGCCGAGAGCGGTGGAGCAGCCCCAGCCCCTCCCCCGCGGGTGTGCAGGTGCAGCCCCATCTGCCCGGGCCTCCCAGGCTGCTTTGCATTTTGTCCTTTTTCAAAAACACAAAAAACAAGTCTTTGAGGCCATTTTGCGGCCTCTGGGACCCGGGGCAGCCGCGCGCCCAGGCGGACCCAGGCGGACGTCCGGCCACCAGGGGCAGGGAGTTCCCGGCGCCCTACTGCTCTGAGAAGCAGCTGAGCGGGACACGGGGCTCGGGGCCCCCAGCACCTGGTCTGTGGTCACCGGCTGTAGGGAGAGCTGCCCTGAGCAGGCCTGCTGGTGGCCGAGGGCACCGCGGGGGCGGGCGCGGTCAGGCTGAGGCCACCGGAGTCCATGTCAGCCGGGAGGGCGGCGGCTCCGTGGGTGCCCTGCCCCGCCTGAACGGTCACCCCGTGGTCACCTCCGAGGCCCGGGCCGTGCGGCCGTGCCCCAGGCCAGCGCATCTCTGCCGACGGAGCCTGGCTGGCAGGGCCTCGGGGCAAGGTGGCCATCCGGGCCGCCGATGACCCCCGCAGATCAAAGGTCAGCGGCCAGCACAGCACAGGGAAACGGCACCATGGGCCTGCAACATTGCACATGGCCCCCAGGCGCTGGGCCAGCGCAGCCCGCGGCATCTCAGAGGCGTCGGCCTGCTCCTGGTGCCCGCTGTGCCGGCACTGCCTTGCCAGTGACCTGCTGCCGCCCGGGGCGCCACCTAGTGCAGACCTGCAGACCCCCTCCGAGGACCCGGGCATCCTCTCCCGAGAGTGGGGGGGAAAGGCGGGTCCCAGAAACTCGCTGAGGCCCAGCGGGGACGGCGGGGCCTGCTGCCCTGGATCTCCAGGCTGGCCGGGGGACTCGAGCCCCGGGCCAGGCGCTCACGGCAGGGCCAGGCGCACCCCACTGTCGGGGCCAGGCGCACCCCACTGTGGCGCAGCGTCAACCTCCCCTCTGCAAGCGTTCGCCCTTCCACAGCACAGACGCTGCCCTGCACTGGCCGCCAGTGGCCAGACCTGTTCTGACTCCACAGCCTTGCCACATGTGGATGGTCTCGTAAGTGGGCATGGTGTGAAGTGGCCACTTCATCCACACAGTGGCCTGTGGCCTTCCTGCTGTCCAGGCCCCGAGTCACGGCCAGGCCAGCACTCAGCGTCCCTCATGCCTCGTCCACACACCACCGGAACGTCGGGGACACTGGCCACCTCCCTATCTGAGGTCCCCGAGGCAGAGGCATACATCCACTGCCCTCAGGGGCCGGACACAGAGGGGTCTGCCTGTGACCCCATCCTGGCCAGCCCACGTGGCTGCAGGGAGGGGCCTCACCCTGGGAGCCCCCCAAAGCCAGGGGAGCTGTGCTCTGGGCATGGACAACTGGCTGGCGCCCTGGTGGGACTTCAGCTGGCGCAGGCAGTGCGCTGAGCGCCGGTAGCGCCTCTCCTGTGCCCTGGCCCCTGCCCGCACCCCGCTTTCCCACAGGTCCCAGCCGGCGGGCGGGCGC